AAGAAGCCTAGAATTTATATTGGAATTTTTTATATGACGGACTTAACTCTTGACTAGAAATTAGAACATATATATAAATTCTAGTCAGTCTCATATTTATGATTTAGCATAACAAGAAAATGGTATTTTACAGCAATGAAACAACTGCCACTCGATTGGATAGGGTAGCTGCAACTGCCTGCATATTTTATACTACAAGTGGGTTTGTGGATAAACTGGCTTATTCCACCATGGAAATAATCATAAAAAAATCAAGTCATCAGACACAACTATCAACCCATGGCATAGGTTCACCCTAAGATCATAGAGACACATAGCTGCAAAAAATGTAGAAACGTCAAACTGGATCAGTCAAAACTAAACAAAGCAGACGGTAAAAAACTAAACAAAGTAGACAAGCCAGCTCAGTTATCAAAGCAACTTCACAATAATTGGAAGTTAGAACTAGGAGTCTGAATCAGGGAACAAGTCCAATTCAGCCATCATACCCATGGCACCACTCCAAAAATTGGCGTACGCTATGTACTTGTGCATTCAGATGCTCCCTCCTCAGATAACTACATCAAAAACAGAATCAGAGCTACTTAAATATCTATGGAAACAGATAGATAATGCACGCTAGCTTATGTATCAATGAAGAACTCAAAACACAAAACACGTTGCTGAAGAGCTACAACTATCAACAAAGTAAAAAACGCTGGTTGCACAATTAAATTGAACAGAAACTCTGAAAAAATCATCTGAACTTACATTTGCCTCAGAAAACCAAAGAGGTAACAACTCGAGCCGCTTAAAACATTCAGAACTCAAATAAATAAAAACAAATTCCGAAACGAGAGATTTAGCTAAACAATATTTGTTGGGCACTAAAAAACAGCATATGCAATTTTGAAAATTAGACAGTAAATTATTTGATCAAACGAGATAGAAAACAATTAAAAATTAATGCAGAAAATAAATCTACAACCATATACAAGTTTTAAACTGATAACACTCTCAGATGGGAACTAGTTGACAGAAAAATAAGAACCTCAAATAATCATCCGTATAGGTAAAGGTAACTGGCTCATGTTGTATGCACCTCACAAGTCATTATAACAGAAATACAAAGACTCTTAAGAAAAATATGCATGGTTCCTCTTACGTGCTGGGAAAAAGCATCCATTCACAGCTGCACCTCAAAATAAAAAAGTATATATCAGCTAATATTAATTTCCTTTTATGAACTTCTTGCAAGAGCCAAAAGCCATCTTTCATGTATACTTAGTTACTCTGAGCTATCCTAAAAAAAACAAGTACCGCAATGTACAGAAGCAAGCACACTGCAACAACAAGTGTAGCTTAAGGCAAAAAAAAAAAGATTAATGAGTTGAATGAAAGCAGTGAGGAATTGCTAGGCACTAAAAGGAGGACTGCAAATGGAATTTTTAGATCACACAGTTTTACAAGTTGCTGCACAAGCAGAATCACATCCCATAGAGACCAAGAATAATAGGGAATAGCAGACCAAACAACCTAAATAGATAACCTCTTATCTCCCCCACATTAATATAATGTAATGCAATTAACCCCAGCAAAATGAGATGGGGAAAATCCCAGGAACTTGAATATCACATAGCACCCAAAGGGATCCAACTCCACCCTCCTTTTTTCACAATCGTGAGCACAACAAATTAGGAGAAAAACATTAGAATACTATTGCCTCTAGTTTTAGTACAAATCAACCTGCATCCTAACACTAGTTTTAGTACAAACCCACCTGCATCTAAGCTTATAGCTCATACAAACAATCAAATGACATAGCAGATCTGACGAATCAAGACCAAATACCTGCAGATTGAAGCTTCGAACATCAATTGGAATCTGCAGATGTGAGCACACGTGGGGTAGTACTATGCCTGTGAAGGGGGAAATGAAGAACGACCCATTCAAATAACATAGATTCAAGAAATCGAATACATCGAGTAAATACCTGCATATGGGGAATGTAATGGCTGCGAAACAAACCTCAGGTCAGGGTGTAGGATCAGGGGAGACTACATTTGCCACCACCAACAGCAAAGCACAAAAACCCCCAGCGCTAATCCGACCTCCGGCGATGGCGACGGCAGCATGCCGGAACGCCTCCGCCGGCCGGCGGGCTGCGGCGCAGCCCAGCAACAGCGCAGCCGCCACGTCGACCATCAGCAGCGCCGGCTCGCCTACGACCGCATCGCTCGCCGCAGAGCGGCCTCTCAGCTCCGCCGCGAGAAACAGGAGAGAGGGGGAGAGATTTGGCAGGTTACGGGTCCGTGGGTTCAGACTTCAGACCCAATAAGACTCAGAAGGACAACGACACACCGCACAAATCTCAAAGCAGAATCAATGGTCAATAATTCGACAGATTTTTATAACAAAAATGTTGACAGATAAATAGCAAAACTCAATGAAGAAAAGGGTAGAGGCAAAGACAACAGTTCACCATATTTGTCTCTTTATTACATTGCCGGTGTGACAGCTAGCTAAATAGCTAATTGAACTTTTTTTCTATGTCCACTAATCACAACATTACTTTCAGTGTCCTATAACAATTTTTGATAATATATTTTGATAGAGGCCATGTTCGCTTCTCTTATAATCCGTCTTTTTCAGCTTGTTAGCTGGAACAGTGTTTTTCTCTCATAACAAATCAGCCAAAACAGTGTTTCGGCTTGTTTTTTCAGCGAAGCGAACGAGGCCAGTGTACTTTGACATTGTAGATATTAATATGTTTTCTGTGAACCTAATAAAAGTTTAAGAAAGTTTTTCCTTTCGATTAAACAATATAACTCAGACACTCACAACACTTGTACACTCACCCTTATGAACGCTAACATGCAAACCCTACCCTATGAGTATCTTCGAAGACTGGTCGATAAATCCTCGAGATTGAAGAAATCACCACAGATACCTCATTGTTGACAGAAACATCACCTACCACTGAAAAGCACAACGTCGTTAAATCCTACAATATTCGTTGTCACAGTCCCATGGGGAGTCGATTTCATCTTAATGTTTCTTATTATTATATATGCGAACCAGGACCTGACTGAGGCTTTTAACCACTAATTTACACGCCCTTTCGTAAAAGTTGAACTAAGTTGGGACAAGATTAAAAAAAAGTTTACAGTTTGGAAGGATAGTACCTCTTAATGTCCTTAAAAACACTCACTTTTGCAGAAACATTGACGGATAAAACATATATATATATATATATATATATATATATATATATATATATATATATATATATATATATATATATATATATATATATATATATATATATAGAGAGAGAGAGAGAGAGAGAGAGAGGAGAGAGAGAGAGAGACACACACACACACATGGTAGATATTGGAAGTGGCTGGATTTAGGATAGGCCCTTTAGGATATTTCCTCTGTTTTTCCCCTGCGCTTTCCTGCTAAGCAGCATAGCTGATTGCGCGCATGGAGAGGATGAATGCCTGAAAGCCTGAAAACCGGTGTAGCACCACAGTGTTTCTTTCGTGCCTTTTGTGCTGGTGTGGCCCAGCAGTGCTCCTAGGCACCACACATGAATGAAATGAAAGGACAAAAAAGTTTGTGACGCCAACTACACTTGGGATGCTTCTGGAGCAAGCGACGTATATATATGAGGCAGAGACAAACGAGCTCGCCTCAATCAGGTCAAGCAGTTTGTATTTTTGTAAGCCTAACAAGCGGCATTGGGATGCTCCATGTGTACACTCCATACTGCCGACACGTCCCACTAGTTTAGAATATACATACATCGATCACCTGTGGAAATATTTGTCAGGAACAGAATAACTTAGGACCTGATGATCAAGGGGTGCTGATGGGGCTAGGGCCGTGGCAGGTGGTATTTCCCTTATTAAGTATCATCCATAATCTGATACCGATACACCAGTGTCCCAACCCAACCATCATGTTCACACAAATTCTCAGCTGTTGCTGTGTACATTTGATTAGTAGTAGTAAAGATTAGAGTGATTTCAACCCATTCTCAAAAAAAAAAAGAGTGCATTTCAACCCTGAGGAAGAGGTAGATGCAGAATTAAAGATGCATCATCTCGTTTTGTCAAAAGAAGACATGTCCATTTTATTCCTGGTTAGCCTAGCCTGTCCCTTTGATCATCGCATCCAAGAAAGCTTCGATCGCCGCAGCTGGAGTGGCAGGCGTGCCAGGACGACAAGGCCAGGCCGGTCCGGCCACCACCCAGCCGTCGATTTCCGGCCGGCATCCTCCCAGCTGCCAATCATCACGGCGCGCCCGCGCGCCGACCATGACATATGCCTTCTCCCGACTGAGACGCAAACACCACAACACATACCAACGCTACCTGCTTTCGATCATGTACATACGCGGGCCAAGTAGCGTGACGGGCAACGGGATCTCGCGGACACCCCGCTTTCCTTCCACGGTCACCGCGCGATCGATCCGTCGCGCGAACGACGCGGACAGAGCGAGAGACCGCCTGCGGTCGTGCGGGCGGGCCGGGCAGGCTCGAGTGGCCGTCGCGTCCGTCGACAACACCACCAGCAGCAGCAGCAGCAGCGCGGAAAATGTGGGCGGGCGACCAAAGTGGTGGGCGCCGTCCCACACGTACGTGTCCCTCTCCCCGCGCGTTATCCAGCCGCCGACACCCCCCGGCCTAGCTAACCTTTTGCCCGGCCGGCTCGTCTTCTTCTCCTGCCTTTTAGTCTCCACGCGGGGACAAACAAATCAAACGCCAAGACGCAAAGCGACCGGCCGCGCGCACGACACGAGCCAGCGAGCGAGCTCGACCCTCCTGCTGCTGCAGTGCTGCTACAGATAAGCTTAGTGGGAAAGGGGAGAAAAGGCGGGCAGAGGCGTCGTCACGAGAGGCACGTCCACCGGCTGAGCTCACTCACCGCCACGCCACCGGTGCAACTTTCCATACACGCCGGGGCTAGTACTAGTCGTGTTGTTATATATAAAGGGCGAGGGGGTCGTGGGCGCTATGGAGAGGAGTAATAGCTGGTTCGGGCGGTGGAGGAAGAAGGCGCGGGAGGGGGAGGGGCAGGGCGGCGGCCGCCCCCGTGACCGTGAGAAGGTGGTGGTGGACGGATCGGAGATCCGGGAGCTGATGGAGGACCGGGAGGCGTTCGGGATGCTCGTGGACAGCAAGTTCCGCCAGCTCGACGCCGACGGTCACGGCATGCTCTCCGTGAGCGAGCTGCGCCCCGCCGTGGAAGACATCGGCGCCGCGCTCGGGCTGCCCGCGGAGGGGGCGTCGCCCAACACCGACCATATCTACTCAGAGGTATGCATCTGTGTGTTCACCGGAATTATGCTTGCAGCTTGCTGGTTTTGCTTATCGTGTGTTGTTAGTTGCTACTCCTACGTACTATACTTCCAAGACAAAGCTACTATGGTAGCTGCTGAAGTGAGATGATCACTGGCGGTTCGAAGCATTAAGTGGTTATATATGGCCCTTTCTTCATTTCTTGGTTTCTTGGAGATTTATACATGCTGCTTTAGTTCGGGATCAACGAATGCCCCAAAGGCATGTGATTTTTTCCGACAGCGTGGCCCATGTTTGAAGGGCTCTGGTCCTCCGTTCCATGTCAAATTTGTAGTTTGTCTAAGCTAAAACATAGTGCTTCAATATCCAGTTGTAATGAAAATAATAGAAACAAAATAACTCGCTCAAACATCCTTGATGAAATTGACTAATTTTTTGGAGCTGAAGCTCTGCCAAGAAAAAACTTTACTTCCATTTATTCTACATACTTGCATCCTTGACTTGAGGATTGAGTACTCAACTGATCTATAGGATGCCAGTTGCCACTTCTCCCAATGAAATCGAGTCCTTGCGGATTTGGTCACTAAATTACGACAGGTCGAATTGTCAGTGCTATTATTATTGAAAAGTTGTAGTATGAATTATTATTAAAAAGCATGTATATTTATGATATGGCAGCGACTTTGGCGCGCGCGTTCTGTCAGTATCAGATGGTGATACTAGCCTATCGACCACTGCCGTACACTGTACTGCATTACATGTACATACTTGGAGTGTCAATGCTTCAACAATAATTGAATTGTCAAACAAAGGAACGTTAATCATGAATTCCTGATCAACAGAACAGATGGCAGATTTCGAAGGCAATGGCAGAAATCTCAGATTGATTGCAGGCTTCCACTTACCTTGTTTCACAACCCTACTGGCGTGGCGTGCAGGTGGTGAGCGAGCTGACTCATGGGACATCCCAGGGCGAGGTGAGCAAGGCCGAGTTCCAGGAGGCGCTGTCAGACATACTCCTCGGCATGGCGGCCGGGCTCAAGAGGGACCCCCTCGTGATACTGCGCATGGACGGCGAGGACCTCAGGGACTTCGTCGCCGGCAGCAGATACGAACCCACAGCTGCTGCCATTTTCTCGCAGGTCGGTTTCGGTTCTGATTCAGAAGACGCGTCGTCCCTGCGTCAGTGCGTGTTGGCCGCTCTCCAGAAGCTGACCGTCGACCACGGAGTGCCACCGGCTTCAGACACCTGGGTCGCGGAGAACATCGTAGAGCCGGCATTGCAGCAGCTTCTTCCTGCTGATCAGCTTGAGCAGCAGCAGGCCTCCCGAGACGACTTGTTCCAGCAACTGAAGAAGCTGCTGGGCGCCATCGCTGATCGACTCCAGGAGCAGCCTGTGATCGTCGCGCACACCGAGAACCACTATGACGGGAGCGGCGTCAAGAGACTGCTGGCCAACAAATTCGAGTTGGACAAGGTACACCAAACCAAAGTGTTTTTCTTTTTCTCGAACTCAAAGTTGTGATTTTCAGACCGTTTAGTTGCTGTTGGGGAGTGCCAATGCTGATGTGTGTTAAATTAATCTTGTTCTGTGCACCAGCTATTGGATTCTGTTTGGAAAGGTTTACCAGCAGAACATAAGAGCAAGGCGTCCAAGGAGTACCTCATAGCGGCGCTTGATAAGATGGCCGATGCTGCAAGCCTGCCATACTATGGTGCTGTTAAAGAGGTACCATCTCCAAATGGCACACAGCATCCTCTAACCCCTCTCCTCTGGAACTAACAATGATGATGTATGCTCAATCGGGACGTAGATTTTGATGTTTCTAATCATCTGTCAGGTGGATGCTGTCGTGGAAGAGTCAATCAAAACAGTGGGCGTCGAAGAAGGAAAGGCAGCAGATGAAGCAGAGTTCAAGAAGTCGCTCACAGATATCCTTAGGGCCATCATGCTGAGGCTGAACGACAACCCCGTGTTCATCTCTACCGACATCGTCGTGCACGAGCCTTTGTCCGGCTCATCCACCCTGTTTTCATCGCCGCCGTTGACAACTTGACATCATCGATGGCGAATTGAAGTGAAACGTAGTACGACGGAAACATACAGGAAAACGGAACAGGCCAGGGTTAATAGCCAGGGTTAGTATAGTATTTGAGCAGTGCCTGTGTTATTGCTTTTTGTTTGATCACAGGCACTGCCCTGCCGCAGCATGCTATGCTAGCTTGTTGCAAGTTTGCATCATGACAAGATGTCAAGATGCAGGCCATCTGGTTTGTTAACCCGATTGACATATAAATTTGGAATAAGGCGTTCAAGCCATACATAATTACACATCATCAATGGCAACCTAATAGCTATTCTAAATTTTGTTTTGGTTGGGGATGCGCCTATGTGGAGCTCGAAGAAATATGTTACTCTATGCAAATACAGTCACTCAATCAGATGTTACACTCTACTAGTCAAATGGTAACAAAGTGACAGTTTGCAGAAACTTCCCTTCATTCCGGATCTGAAAAGCAATCGACACGTTTGAGTTCAACAAGTGGTACTTCTTGATACAACACGCCACTTCACAGAATAAGTTCTGCTCCAAAGGAGCAATCCAATGGAAGGAACAACCATCTCATCGCCTCCGAAGGTTATCCTTATCTAGAAATTGTCTGAAGAACACGTCTCATTACTAGGAATAAGATTGCTAAGACCTAACTAGGCCTTGTGCCTCTTGGTCTTTGTCTTGGGAGCCATGAAATCGTCGTCATCATCGTCATCTGTGTCATCACTTGCCTTTCTCTTCTTTTGAGACGTCAGTTTTCCAGCACTCTTTGCAGCCCCAGCTGACTTCTTTGCAGATGAAGGCAGTGCCTTGGTTGGAGTCGGAGAAGAAGGCTTTCTCTTTGCCACAGGTGTTTTGACTGGTGACTTAAGCTTTTGGCCTTGTTTCTTCTCAAAAACTTTTGTAGCCACATCCAACGGGAGCAAACCCCATTCCATCAACCTATGCGCATCCAAAGAGTAATTGAATATATTAGTTTGCTTTAATAAGAACATTCACGCATCCTTGAACTCCTGACACTGAAGGATAAATATATTAACAGACTGCAGAAAAACCAATTCGGTTCATAAATATGCATTCAGGTCTGGGAGCTGTGTCAGCGGACATTTGATCATTTGACAAGTTAATGATACCTTCTGGAATGTTGTAGGTGCACTCAGTAAGATGGAAAGTTAGTATATTCTAGGAAAAAGTCTGTTTTTGGCCCTCCAACTATGGCAGCAGTTTGGTTTTAGCCCTCCAACTACAAAACCAGACACCCGCAGTCCATGAACTGTGTAAACCAGATAGAAACGGCCCTCGCGCCGGCGCGACGGCGGTTTGCGCCCGGTCAACCCGCGACGACCGCGGTATTGGGCCTTTTCCTTTTCTCGTGGCCCACTTACTCGCGCTCTCTCCTCTCACTCTCTTCCGTTCGTTCCCCGCACCAGCACCCTCCGCCGTCGCCGTCGCCGTCGATGTCGCCGCCGTTGGGGTTCGGGGTTGGGGAACGAACGGGGTTTTCTCTCCTCTCACTCTCTTACTCGGGAGTTAGGGTTCGGGGTTGGGGAACGAACGGAAGAGAGTGAGAGGAGAGCGCAGTAAGTGGGCAAAAGAGAAAAGGAAAAATACCGTCGTCGCTGGTTGACTGGTTGAAACCGGCGCAACGCCGCCGCGAGGGCTGCGCTTCTATCTGGTTTACACAGTTCATGGACTGCGGGTGTCTGGTTTTGTAGTTGAAGGGCTAAAACCAAACTGCTGCCATAGTTGGAGGGCCAAAAACGGACCTTTTCCTATATTCTATGGCAAAGAATGATCTAGTCCAGTGATGAATTTGCTGGGAACTAGCTGAAACCAAGACACAGCAATTTTCATAACAGAAAGTAACCAATGCTAGAGGCTAACTCTTTAATATTTAAATTTAAACCAAGTAAAAAGGCTTAATATTTGGCATTATGCATGTTTTTTAAGGAATTCATATCAGAATGGCATGGTTTAAAATAAAAGGAGTTATTTCAGCTAACCTTAGTTTATCTTTCCACAAGATATTAGTATATTACTTCACAAGATACCTTTCAACTAATCTAACATCAACCAAACATAATGCTAAATATTAATTCACAACATCATGGAAGCACAAAAAGGCATGGTTCATTTCTTTATTAAACAACAAAGGACCCATTTCGTGAGAATCACAATCAGATTGGCCTTTGCGTGCAGGTTTACATGTTCAAAATTAGAGCTCTGCAAATACATGCCTAAGTTTGCTACGCTACAGCTTAATCATGCCATAGTGTCTTAGGCAGCTGTATGGTTCAGACGCACGTGGCGCACCACACTTTCTAAGCACCCTGTCCCACATGTCATAGACTCTCTTTTTTTCTAGCCAGAAAAGGTTGCCTTAGTTACCTAAGCTGTAGTTGTGGACTTGTGGTACCCTTAGGCATCAACCAAACAGGATGTGCAGAATACTATGTTTCCTGCTACATCATATTATTAACACAGACTGTAATAACGAGTTACAAAATCCTAGAAAAATTCTTGTTTGTACTGTTGTTTACACAGTTACAGAATGTGAGCGTTGTTGCCATAATGATGCGTGTCACCACTGTGATTATCTTGCCAAAGGTGTGGCCTGACTGCTTGACAAACACTTTGTGAAGATGAATAGATCTCCAAAAGTTATGCAAGCTTTGGCAATGATTTATCAAACATAAGACATATTTTATACCATTGGTTCTCAGGCACCAGATTGGTCTGTACTGATCCAACACGATATGGGCCACACTACAGCTACATCTAGTTGGCTTGTAACACAAATCTTTACAAGCTTATAAATATTTAGTATCTCACCAGGTAGCGGCCATGTCACTGGTGGGGACCTGCTCGTAGAGTGATTCATAGAATATCCTCAATGGATCCCTCTGCAGCAAAAAGAAAATTAGTTTGTTTTGCAGATGCATATCAGATTGGAGAAGGTTAGAATGGTCATACTTCTGCAGGAGGATCATGCTTCTGCCCTGGCAATTCATACACTTTCCTCTCTTTCTTCACCTTCTCTGCCTTTACAATGGCCATGTTTGCCTCTTCTTTGACACCCACTCGTTTCTTCCTTTTCTTAACCTCCTTCACCAAGTCACAAGACAATAAGTAAATTTACAACAACAGAATATCAGCCCAAGTAGATTGCATACCTTGAGATCTTCCAAATCTTCATCTTTAAATTTCTTAACCTTGGATGTCTTGGCATTACTTCCAGCAGCACCTGCACTTTTCTTCTGTGATATTGGCTGAAAGGTGCATAATTGTTAACCTCAAAACAAGAAGCTAGAGAAATATAGCTGAGAACAATAGGGCGTGAAAATTGCAACCGTGAAATCACCATCATCATCAGAATCAGCTTCTTCTTTCTTAACTTTCGAAGCCTTCATATTGCTATTCGTGGTGCCTTTCTGCTTCTCGTTTCCCTACAAAACAGGACAATGTTAGCTTCTTTAGAAGACACAAGAAAGAGTACCACCGTTCAGTAATCTAAGGCTACATCATGTCATCTGCTCATTTTAGGGCAATAAAATTTAGTGAAGACGAAAATAGTGAATAACAAAACTAAATCGAAGTTCAAAGTTAACAACCCTCAATTTTTGAACTAAATCCCAAAAATTCCGATAAAATTCCCTGAGACACAGATAAGTTCCAGGTTATCCCAACATTGGCCTGGAGGCCGGGGCATATCCGACCGACGGGCGACGGCAAAGCTTCGCCTCTGCGTTTACAAATCCACAAATAAAGTTGATAAAATGAGCTAACTGAAGGTAACCTAGCATTGCGTCCAAACAAAAAAAACGGTAACCTAGCAAAAATATTATCCAAAGAAATCTCTCAGGACCTAGCGTCGCTCGCACCACGACGCCCGCCACGCCACAGGCTAGAAAACAGAGATCTGGGGTAGAGGCCAACAAACCTTCTTTGCCCGGGAACGCGAAATCGGCTGGTTGTCTTCCTCGTCGTCCTCCTCCTCCTTCTCGACCTTGGAGGCGCTCGCATTACCCGATTTCTTAGCCCTAGAAATTGCCAGCGGGACGTTGTCCAATTCGTCATCATCTTCCTCCACCTCCTCCTTCGGGGGCTTCCTTACGGCTGCGGGACTAGCGGCGGCGGCGGCCTCTCCGGCCATCGCTAACTCGCGCGGCGAGGGTTCACTTCGTTTTTCTGCTGCTGCCGCTGCTTATTGCCTACCGCGGGGAGGAAAATACTGAGGCAGCGCCACGGCCCGCGGCCCGCGAGTCCGTCAGGAATCTAAAGATGGATATGGTGCAGTTCGGCGAACTGGCCGCGAGCTTAATGGGCCCTTCCGATCCATAAAGGTAGGTAAGGTCAGTGCATCACGGGCTCTCGAACCAGATTTCTCGCACACGATCCAGGGGAGCAACTGTCAGTCAAATTGCCTGTTTCGACTACAGGCAAATTTGGTACCGTACGCAACTACAACTGCAGAGGATCCGGCGCTTCAGTTTCGCTATAATCATGGTGACGATTTTTGTGATCCAGATCCAGATATTGGAAAGCGTCTTTTGTTGAGGCTTGACTAGACACGAAAGGTCCATCACGAATCAGACAGAACGATTTGTACTAGTAATACCTCTAGCTCTAGGGACCACAGACGTCCACATTGATTCCTGACCGGAGCATAGGGCATCCAAATCCAAAACCGATCAGGAATCCAGAGAATTACGCTCCACTCCAATTAGGCAATTACCACCGGGGAGTCACGTCAAGGAAGCATGTCATCAGCCTGCAATCGCACGAAATCCTCCGCTACTCCAAGCAACGACACGGATTTTGCTCTCCCCCGGAAAGAAGGGAAAAGTAGAGGACCGCGCTGCCGGTCCGCACCAGACGTGGCGCACCGACCCCTCAGATGATCCGTACCTTCCTCTCCTATTAAAAGTAAAAGTAGAGAAAATTCCTTCTTTATCATCCAAAGCTATATTAATCCCTTCATTGCTATTAGTTTATAATTTTTGTTTCTTTATCTACTATTGTTGTTACTTTCTCGTTAATCCATCATATACACCGTTAAAACATGTGGCGTCGTCGTCACGCCGCGTCGCACGCACATCTACCGGTCCCCTCTCTCTCTCCCCGCACCGCACAGGGTGTCCCGCCCCCGGCCCTGTTGGTGCTGGCCAACCGCCATGAGGAACCCGACGACGAGGAGCAGCCTCAACAAAGGCAGCTGCGGCGGTGGTAATAGTAAGGCGGCCACGCTATCGGCGAAGCAGAAGGTCGTGTCCGGCCACCGTGGCGTCGTCGTCAACGCGTTTGACTGCCTCCCCGACGACCTCGTGCTTTCCATTTGTGCTAGCGGGCTCGCATGGCGGGGCCGGTGCCCCGCCGACCTCGGCTGGCGGCGGGCGCTACCGTGAGTAGCTACCATAGCATGCCTCTGCTCCGTTCCTCCGTCCGTTCTTGATTCTACCCCGTCGCCGCCTTTGGCTCGTCCCCTCTTTGAGTCTTCTCTCCTGTGTTGGCGGCATGCATGCAGTGCGGGAAGTTTCGGGATCTCATGGCGCACCCTACCGTCAGGTGTCGCGTGCAGCGGCGCGCGCCGTCGCCGTACTGCGGGGAGATGGTCGGATTCGATTCTGGGTTCTGGCGGCGGTCGGCGCTGCCGCGCGCAACCTCCGCTGCTACTTCCTCGGCATGGTAACGAACAACGACCTCGCTCTCTCTCGCTTCTTGGAACGAATCCATTCATTCCTTTGTTTCGAAAGGATCGAGTCGTGGCTTGTTGATGATGCCTTGCAGTCGCGTTCTCATGCGCATCGGGAGCGAAGCGGCGACGAGGGGCGGCGCTATTGGCGCGAAGCGGGCGGAGGGCGGCACGCTGGCGGCGGCCAGACGCGCGTTCGCCATGGTGCGATTCAGCAGCGGTGGCGGCGACAAAAGGTGGACAAGGACCAGCGTGGTGGCGGTGGCGCCTTGCGCGCCGCGTATGGCTCGGCCACGCACGCCCGGCGCTCGCGAGCTTTCGCCATCGCCTCCGGGGCAGCTACGGCGGCGGCGCGCGCGCGCCGCGGCCGGACGCCACTTTCTCGCTCCGCGCGCGCGCTGAAGCTCTCATCTCATCTCGCCGCACCGCCGAGCAAGCGGTGAAGAAGAAGAAGACGCTGCGAGAGGTTCATGGAGTGGTGGGCGCCGCCGCCAAGACAGGAGGAGGAGAAGGCGGCGCAACGACGCCCGGCGTGCACTGTACTCGGTTCGCGATCTGCATGGCGGCGGCGGCGGAGACGCGGCGGCACGAGTTCGGCGGTGTTCGGCGTGCTTGGTCCGCTATATCATCGCAGCGCAGCGTGCAAGCGCTGGACTGGAAGCGCGTGCACCGCCACATGTTTTAACGGTGTATACGTTGGATTAACCAGAAAGTGACAATGGCAGATAAGGGAACAAAAAATATAAACCAATAGCAACCAAGGGAACATGTAAATCTGAACGGCAATAAAGGGATTAATATAGCTTTGAACGGCGATTAAGGAATTTTCTAAAGTAATAATGATCTGATCTGCTTATATTTATTTGTGTATATTTGTGCAAATCCTTCTCGATCATACTACTACTACACGAGGAGTATTTGTATCTGTGTGAGCGCCCTTTCCGACTGTCAGGTGTCAAATCCGCAGCAGGCCTCGGCGTCCGATCCTCTGCTTCCACGGTCCCTGCGTACGATCTCCACACGTCAGCAGGAAGATCCTTTGCTTTGGGTCGTTACACGCACCTATCCATCTCCGCGCACACGGCACACGACACGATCGTGGTTGGTTACACGCGCCTATATCACTATCGTCGGTTCGCCCCCACGTCCGCCTCCCCCTCGGCTCGCTTTCCCCTGCCTTCGCCCAACGCTCCCCGAAACAAGCAGGAGAACCAAGGTCCAAGGCAACAACCGGCGCAGCAGGCAGCCAAGGCAATCAGCCATGTCGTACTACGGCGACCGGCGCGCGGAGTCGTCGATCGTGGAGGCGTTCACGCTGTCGCCGCTGCCGTACCCGGTGATCCTGATCCTGCTCATGGTGACGCTCCTGCTGGGCGTCTCCTGGTTCTTCACCTACGAGGACTTCATCGAGGAGGCGTCGCAGCAGCTGAGCTGGGCGCTGCTGGCCGTGCCCATCGCGCTCGTCCTCCTCATCCGCTGGATCTCCTCCGTCGACTCCTTCGAGGGCTACTTCGGCTTCTACCCCAGGGAGAGCCGCTGGAAGGGCTACGAGCGCCCCCCGCCGAGGGCAGCTCACCCTGGGGCGTCGCCATGGTCGTCCTGCTCCTCCTCGTGCTCGCCAGCTTCCACTCCACCATCCAGGACATGTGGAGGCCATGAACGAATCGGCGAATCCTGCTCCCATCTCAATCTCATACGTGATTCTCTGTACCTGCATGCAGTGTGCTCGATCAGCTTTTTCTTGCGCGCTTGGTTGGTTTCAATTCCACACGCGCATGTATGCGCTTAATTGTACTGGTTGGTTGCTGATCGATCGATAATTCGATGTACATATACATATATGTTATTATTAGGGGATGCTGCAGCTGGCTGTTAGCTGCAGGATATACAGTTTGAGGGTGATATACTCATCAGTTAGCTGCCTGTAAGACTGGTTTTGGTTTTGGTTTTGCTACAATCGTGATTCCTGGCTTGGTTTCTGTTCTGGATGTATCCTTTTTCAAGGTTCCTTTGCTTTGGTTTCCCTGTCTTGAATTGACTGGAACCATCTCACACTTTGTTCTCTCTTTCCACCAAACTATATTCGTGCGTGTACTATACGTGGACACTATACTGTGGCCGGGTGTGTGAGATTCTTTACTTGGCCAGCAGCGCTCATCGTCAACATGGAAACAACAGTTGGCCTGGTTCGTGGGAGATAATATACTTCAAACGTGCAAGTGCAAGTACAGCGGCGCCACTCGATCAGGTCATATATGTATAGGACTAATTAACGGGCATGTATATGATATGCACAGGGGAAAAAATAAAGGTGTACGTAGATGTGATAAGAGCGGGCACTGCATTCGGCGCCGGCAATCATGCCACTCGCCTCCTACTCTATCTTTCCGTTTGGCGATACTTGGATGATTCAGACTTCAGAGTTCACACCGCTGAGAGTTGCGCGTCTCCATTCTCAGCCCATGCTTGTCCTGTTGTCCGGCCAGCACTCGTGTTGGAAGAAGCGGACAGCACTTTGACGAACACACGGAGGAAGACAAGGAGTGGTGGTGGTTGGGCCGTCGCCCGTCGAGAGGGATCCTTTTGTGCTCCAAATCCAATCTAATTTTTCATTCGGCAGAGAGAAAAGCTGCAGCAGCTTCTAGGGGATTTGCAACGTTGGCAGCCCCTCGATCGACCAGTGGACCGGCTGTGCCTGTGGTGTATGAGGAGTAGCTTTATATTCCTGGACTGCAAAATTGGAAAACCTCCAGCCAGTTTCACCCTCCGAAAGAAATTCGTTTTCCGCGGTCACCCGTCGCCCTCGGAGGCAGCCCATCGATCAATTCACGTCTCCTCTCCTGTCACGGCCACCTCCTCGTCATCCTGTGTGGGCGTGTGGCTCGCCAAGCAACAACGCATCACCGCTACCGCCCGTCCTTCCGTCCTGTCTGTCGGGCGGTGCGTCGGCGACGCGGTTTTGTGCGGTGTCTCCGGCACGGCACATCCATCGGCAGTGCACTGCTGCAGAGCGGAAGGCACAAACCTAACAACATCCATCACCTAGCTGTTCGAGCGATCTGCAGTCTGCACCCTGCTTAATGAACGTTAAGTTCCGTTGCTATGATTCAGAGGACCACAGCAATCAACGGCGATGGTCCGCGCGCGGCGGCACCAATCATCGGAGCAGGCCTTAATTCGGGAAGGTCCGAGCGGAGCGCATCGCCCGCTGGTGCGCGCGGTTGGTGTTACGCAAGTCCGCACCGGAGGGCGGAGGTGCAAAGCCTACCGGCGGGTGCCGGGTTTTCTTTTTTATCTCTCTGTGCTGGTCCTATGGATGCCTTATTGCCTTTCAGTCTTTCGCTGAAGCCGCGTGCGCCTTGTGCGAAGTTTACGGTCCAGTAGCTAGCTAGCTAGCTGTAAGGATTCCTCCATTTGCTGCCGACACTGATTTAATTACTTCCGCTAAACAAAAGTGGAAAAGAAGCTAGGCGTGGCTCGCAGTTGCAGCTTGCCAGCTTACACCAACTTGTTCTGCCCTTTCATCGCTCATCGGTCGGGGCGTACGTGTGTGTGGTCAGATATCATGTGGGCATCCAGCTCGTTCAAGCGGCCATACGAGGAGGCGTGAGCTCCCAACCGTACCTCGAAACAGTGGAGAAAATGAGCGTTCGAGCTAGTAGAAACCTGTGAAAGGAACGGGAGACAGCTTGTCCAGCTACTGGGCAATCCGCGCGGCCTGTACCGTTCGGCAGCGGGCACGGCGTCGTGCGCGGTGGGCGCAGCGAGTTCTACTTCTTCCGCTGTCCATGTCCATGTCCATCCCCTATCCCATCGGCGCGCCCAGGGGTCGCGTGACGTGGGCAGCCAAACACACCTAAGCTAAAAAAAAAGCTGCTGCACAGAAATCCGCGGCTAATGTTTGGCAGGCCGCTGGGGACTGGGGCAGCCCACGAAGCACAACGGCACGAGGCCCAAGCTGGAGGGTGCCTAGGTGCCACTATCTGGGTGGGGATCATACTGTTTTCAGAAACATCAGTAAACGTCAGGGATCAGTGCATCTCTAAGGCCGTTCCCAATGGCATGGTTCAAATAGATAGCGACGAGGAAATAAAAAAAAATTGAAGAGACGTACGGCCTGATTGGTTGGCTACTAATTTTTATCCAACTAAAATTATGGCAAGTCAAAACTGAGGCTTGCTAAAATCAAGGCTGTCAAAGTTAGGGCAAAAAATATAGGTGTGCATTTGATTGACTATCAAAATCAAGACTTGTCAATTTTCTTTTTTATGTAGTTTAAGAATTTTATAGAGACTTGCTAAAACTTTAGCTATAAATACTGGTATGCCAATTATTTGACAATAAACCAATTAATAACTACAAATTTTAACATGCCAAAATTTTGGCTGGGCAGGAACGGGAAGCCAACCAATCGAGCTCGTAAGCTGCATGGCAGCCCAGAAAAGTCGCTTCCCATCTCGCTAGCGAGGGTGTTTTCAGCGTTCTCCTCCTATTTACAGAATAAAATACTTCCTCCCTCTGTTTCAAATTATAAGACGTTTGACTTTTTTGTCTCAAGTTTGACCACTCGTTTTATTTAAAAAATTTATGCAAATATAGTCAAATTTAAGTCATTCTTAAAGAATTTTTATTAATAAACCAAACCACGACGAAAGAAGTGATATTTTACACAAATTTTTGAATAAGACGAGTGGTCAAACTTGATGTTAAAAAAATCAAACGTCTTACAATTTGGGATGGATTGAGTACAATTTATACGAGCTATTTGAGTTCTTGTTGGAGACGCCTAAGGCTGGCACGGAAGAGATTTGTCATGTTTTTCAGCAACTGGATTATTTCCAAGGCTTGAAGCGCGGAGTTCCCTTGGCAACACGGCATGAAGCAATCATGCGAGCTCTCGAGTACAAAACAAAGTCCTTGGCAGCACATCTTCCGATTGTTCCCGAGAGACGACACCCGGCGTCGTCTCTCTCCGTCCCTCGATCACCAGCTGTCTCTTTGGTGACCTGATGGAGCCATCCGCCATGCATCTAAAGTAAACAACCGAGTAGCATTGTAATATCAAACACCTGTCACGTGTCCACCATGTACAGAAACAGGGAGACGGGCATGGGCAATAGGCACTGGAACTCGGAACTGAAGGTGGTGTGCCGCTTGCTTCCTTACATCAGGATGGTAATCATAGCAGCAAATTTGAATTCCAGAGCGGAGCGAGGCCATTTGAACGAAGTGGTAGATGGCTGGGGGGCATAGAACTCGTGGCTGCCAATAACAGAGCACATGCATGTCAATCACAATCCAAGATAAGAGGACGAACGCACATGGATGGACGGAAACAGAAGGAAGGATGCACAAGCAAAAGGAGTATTAGTAAGCGGTCTCTATTCTCTTGGTCAACTAGTCACGGTGGAACTTTGCATTGGTGACGAACTGACAATGTTCGCACACATGCTAATTTTGGATCCGCACATTGGTTGCTAACCTGTCTTAATAATTTTTACTAATAGATAGCACAACTTTATGCATCGGTCTGTTAGGTTTCACTCTTGCTAATTCTTAGTTGCTAGAAATGCCGTTTGATTTGTTTCCAGGAAGGCCAAATGATGCAGCATTCGGCACACTAGGAAAGCTGTTCGAGATCCATTAATACTGTGAGAACCCCGATTAACCAAACATGCACGCGAGAGGAATACTTAACATAGGGTGTAATTCATTGCTTACATTGACCTTTTGCTTGAATTAGACCTTACGCAGCACAATCTAAGTCAGAATAATCGTATACGATATCTTAGCGTTTAGTTATCCTACACAAACATTTGGTAAAATTGTGTTTGGTTGCTAACATTGTGTTATATGCAGTCACATCCATGTTTTAGTAGAGACCTTATGTTTCTAGTAAAGGTAGAAAGTGGTGCCTTTCAAAAATAAAGGTAAAAAAGAGGTGAGAATATTTCTTTTTTTGTGTGTCCATCAGCTTGTGTAAATCTACATCGCCTAATTCAATGTACTAGCTATGATTTGAACATTGTTTAAGCCTGGATAAAATTTCCACGAACAACCAAACACAGGCAAAGTGCGCTGCAGAAGCCTAGATACATGCTAATGCAGGCAACCAATGAGTCCCATAATGGATTTTTCCTTTACTTAGAAGCATCAGTACAATCACAATTCACAAAAACCAGCTTTTAGGAAAATCATAAAGACTGAAGCCAACAATCATGTAGATCGGGGAAAAAACTACAGTTATCGTCAAATTGCAGAATCATCAACAAGCTTCATCATGAGTGAACATTTAATAAAAAAATGCCACATATAATACCAATAAAGGGGTCAATAGAGTATCTTGACAAAACACGTGAACAACTACGAGTGCCTCAACAATCAACAATAAGCATTGTTTCATTTGGCATCATGTATGTAATCAGACAGGTATTGAAAGATAATTGTAGTACTTAAACTAATCCATATATCATTTGATTGCCTCAAAATTTCGTGTGATACCATTCACACCAATGAAGTACTAACAACAAATAAGAGAATTTCTAACACTGTCACAAATCTTAAATAATAACTCTAGCAATGATAACTGTGACTGACAAGAAAAATAATGCATTGAAAAAGACCTTAATAACCAAATGGTTTATCATTGTATGACCTGAAAACAAACTTCATGACATAAGATTCCATACCCAAGTCCCAAAATGTACACATAAGACCTTAAGATTCTTATGGCGAAAATAAGTTTGCAACGCAGCTACTGAGCAAGTGAGCATATGTAGCACGCATATCTATAGATAAAGAGTATGCACGTCAGCAAAACAAGAAGCATAGACAAATTGCTGATCATCGCCACTTCAACTTCAATTGAACAAAAGCAAATCATGATATACTTAGTTCTCTTCCGTGGTACAAAAAGTCACTAAAAGAATCTATGGTAGTCTACGCAACAGAGTGCCATCCCCCAAAACCCATGACATGAAAAATCTTCGGAACAGTGTCATCCTAAGAACCAACTAATGGAACTAGGAATTAAATGCTTAGCTACGAGGTAGCAAAGAGAAGCATCAGGCTTTTGAATTATGATGGCTACCTAGTGAGTGTTTCTTAACTTCTGTTCCACTTTCACAATTTGCTGAGCAAAATGAGCCTCTCAGTCTGATGAATTAAGGAATGGAGGTAGAATTCTGATACACACCGTCAGGAGAGGCCACGAAGACACTGAATAGACAGTCATCTTGCGCTACTTGAACTGCCATTCCGACCACGTGAACCCTTGCCATTGCTACTGGTACGCAGCTTCTGCTTCTCAGCCAGCTCAGGATGGTAGTACTCAAGATACCACCGCACAAACTTCTTGAGCCCTGTTTGCAGATCTGTGGATGGCCGGTAACCGAGCTCCCGCTGCGCAAGGCTTACATTAGCATGCGTGTATGGCACATCTCCATTCCTTGGCATCTTAACAACCTTCCTCACAGCCTTCACTTTGAGCAGTTTCTCCAGCAAATCCACTAGCTGTGTAACAGGCACAGGTGAAGTGTTGCCCAAATTGTATGTCCTGAACGGTGCCGTACCTCGCTTCTTGCCTCCACTGCCTGTGCTCCGACCAGCTGTATCCAATGCCGCTACACACCCCTTCACAATGTCATCAATGTAGGTGAAATCCCGGGAGATTGTAGTCTGGTGTGAACCTCCACCGGCACTCTCATAGACCGTGATTGGCCGACCAGCAAGGATGTCCTTGGTGAAGAAGAAGTAGGCCATGTCCGGACGCCCCCATGGCCCATAGACAGTGAAGAATCTGAGGGCGGTGAGTGACAGACCATAGATGTGGTTGTAGACATGAGCGATCTCCTCACCGGCCTTTTTGGTGGCTGCATAGAGAGAGGCTGGTCGATCCGTCCTGTCATGCTCGGAGAAAGGCACATGGGAGTTGAGCCCGTACACTGAAGACGACGACGCCCAGACGATGGCGGGCTGAGGCTTGGCCGCGCGCGCCGCCTCGAGCAGCGCCACGAGACCGGCAACGTTGGCGCGCACATAAGACATGGGGTCCACGAGCGCGTGCCGCACGCCGGCTTGCGCGGCGAGGTGGAGGACGTGTGTGAAGGGCACGACGTCGAACAGCTTGGCAAGGAGTTCGGCGTCGGCGATGTCGCCGTCGACGACGTAGACCCCGGAGCGGGCGAGGAGCGCGGCGCGGCCGCGCTTGAGGGCCGTGTCGTAGTAGTCGTTGAAGTTGTCGAGGCCGAGCACGCCGTCCCCTCGGCGGCGAAGCGCGGCGGCGGCGTGGCAGCCGACGAAGCCCGCGGCGCCCGTGACGAGGACGGAGTGACCCCGGGAGCGCCTGACGCGCGACGACGCCCGCACCTTCTTCTCCCAGGCGCCGCCGCCCCAGGAGGCGGTGGACGAGGGAGACGCGTGGAGGGAGCGGCGCGGGGACTCGGGCGCGGCCCGCGGGGCGGGCGCCGCGGGGGAGAGGAGGAGGAAGGCGAGGAGGAGCGAGAGGGAGCAGACGGACCAGAAGGCGAGCTTGGAGAGGAGCGAGGTCGGCGAGGGGTGGTGGTGGCGCGGGGGCAGGCGGTGGTGGTGGTAGTGGTGGAACTGCGGCTTGACGGCCGCCGCGCCGCCCGCCGCGGCCGCCGAGCCGGGCGCGCCGGTCAGCTGCGGCGCCATCCCCTCGTCGATCCGCGGCAATGCGGCTGGTCCCTGGATCTCGGCTCGGGGCTGGGGCTTGGAGTGGGGATGGTTTCGATTTGCTTTCGACGGGCCTGTTTCGGGGGATTTAGTTCACGGAGGGGCTACATTTGGGGAGAAATCCCGTGCAATTTTCTCGTCTCTATTTTACCTTCCCCTTTTAGATTTAGATTTTTTTTCATTATATGATATGATGAGGAGCACCACGAATTGCCACGGATGCTGGCCGTACATATAATATTTCCCCCCTCAATTCTATCTATTTTCATACAGGAGTGACCTTGACGAGGATACCACAATGTCCATGAAGGGAAGGGGGGAGATTGCATATATGGCACAGACGTGTCCAAAACCCTATCGCCTGAATTTAAAATATCTACAAAAGTTTAATGTAGCTTTAAACTTTGTATAAAAGTGCTTCCAAAATCACAAAAGCAGATGCTGTTGCAGCGAAATTTTCTCTTTGTTCTTCCTTTGCGCCTTTTGAAAATCATCAAGTGAGCTTCGCCTCGCGCTCGCCTCGTGTGGACCTACCAGGTGCCTCCGGGATTTTCGCTTCGTTCTCGGTTGTTGGGGGCGCTTCGGCTGGGGCTCAAAATCTTTCGGTTCATCGTTATCGTTTGGTCAGATTTCGTTTTATACAAGCCATCGTCGCGAGTGGTCGGTGGGGTCGCGCGCGGCGCCGGTCCTCTCTCTCGCCAAGCATTTGCATTTGCATCACGGGTTAAGGATCGGATCTTGGACTGTCGGTACGGTACGCTTTCCTCCCTCGGCTTGCACTTCCTTGCGCATGTCAATGGCCTAGAGTCAGTACTAGTCACCATCCATCCGTATCATATCAGTCGCGTAACTGTTCTGGCGTTTACCCTTGTAACAGCAGGGTCTCGCACTAGCAGGAGGGTTATGGCATTCTACTGGACGCAACAAGGGGTGGTTAGTTTTCCGATTGTTACATGGGTGGTTAATTTTCTCAACAATGCGTGCTACTAGACACAGCCGACGAACAGTATTTTTTGTTACACCAAATCAGTCAATAGTACTCAGCCAAACAAGCCCATACGAACGTGCCTTGGGTGTGAGCATGCGCGCTCGCATCACATGTGGCCAAAGTCGTCCTACGAGTAAGCAACAGTGGCACGAACGCTGCTAATCTGCTCTCGGACAGCGTGAGCCTAGTAGTACACCACTGAAGATTTACGCGTATTTCCTTGCAAAGTTTAATTAAGTACTGTAATAATAACGGAATCGGTTCAGTTCAGCGTCTTCGGTCCAACGGACCGGGGTGCAGTGCAGGTGCCGGTGCAGGGTTGAACGCTTCCACACCGGAACTTCTCTGATCACACACCGGATGGATCCAGGCCACCTTGTTAGTCAAGTCAGCTGTTCATATTTTCTTTTTCTTTTTCCTGTGACGGTCGAACGATCTCGAAGCTTGCTACTCACTTCACTTATACGAGTTATTATCTCCTTGATCCTTGACAATGTACTGGATCAAAGTCACCGTGATGTTATTCTCCTTGTAACGCAACTGCCTGGTAATTTCTCAAGGAAAATAAGGAAGAGCGAAAATTGATTGTGGCGCTTCAAGTTTCGGAGACGGCTCACGGCTGGCCCCGACCACCGTGATGTGATGCCAGTCCTCACTGCTTCAGTATTTCCGGCGGGCTGCAGCCCTCCTGCCGGTGGCACGGCAGCGCCAAGGGCATGGCGCAATGGCGGACGCCGGGCGGCCTGCCTACGGGATCGCGGCGTCGCGCAATGGGTACACTGTTTCTCGACGCCTGTCGGACGATTCGCGTGCGCTCACGTACTTCGCGTCCCCAGTAGACAGCCTGTTTGGTTTTACTGGTTCGTTTCGTTGCTAGTTTATAAAGAAGTATTGCGGGCTGATTTGTGGAAAAGAAAAATATTGTTCCAGCTGAAAATTTACGATCATTTACGAGCCACAGCCAAACGATCAAGCTGATATTCGCTCGGATGGAAGACTTGTTCGGAGTCACTTCTTATACTACTAACATCATATAATTAATATAATTAATGATATATGATTGGCATTACTAAATTCACCCTTAAAAAATTCAGAATATAGTCGAACATTAATCTTCATCAATTAAACCCTGGACAAACCTAGTTATAAAAAGAGATCTTTGTTAGCTACGGCAGTTAATCACTCTCGGCATATAGTTCGCGTGTGTGCAATTTGCCAAAAAATAGTTTTAACAAAAGAAATGTAGGTCTAAAATACTGTAGCACGTTAAAACCTGTTGCATGAATCAACTAACCAACCAAGTAGCCACCGGCACCACCACATACAGTTAATGGACAGTGATCCACAAGACGATTGGCACTAACCAAGTTGCCCTGATAAACCAGATCACTGAATCAAAATTTTTAAGTTGAACAGCCCACAGATCAGACATACAGCTACGATAGGATTATAGGGGGAGAAAGAAAAGTCTTATATGCTAAGAATAACTCATATCTCTCTTACAAGCACACAATGAGCACAAAACAAAAGCAACACAAAGATATAGATAGTTGATGAACTGCACTGTCCTTACACGTCTGCAATGGTCACCTCGACCTCAACACCGGGCTCGATGGTGATGGAGGTAATCTGCTTCACCACATCAGGGGAACTGATTAGGTCAATCACCCTCTTGTGGATGCGGAACTCAAACCGATCCCATGTGTTTGTTCCTGACCAACAAATTAAAACGTGATCAGTCAAATTCAAGACTTAACAACAAAAATATGGTATCAATATCCCATTATATTCCACGTGCACTGGCAGAGCTTGATGACAGTCTCTGAGGTGGGCAATCTATGTAAGCACTCTCTATTTGACAAAATTATTCACTTAAATCAATTGTTTTTTCAAGATTTTGACAAATGAGAATGATCTTGGCCTGCTCTTCTAGAATCTAGACTGCTTCTTCTCCACATTCTAGAAGATAAAGTCATCAATAACTAGATCGTACTAAAATGTGTCAAACAGGCTTAGGTGTTACTGTCCAGAATATGAAGTCTAAAGTTACTCAAGGCTGAGATGGCATGAATCCCATTCCCACCATATTTTGACACAGATAACTACAGAGAAAACAGGGTAACATAAAACAAGGTGCATTGGGACCTCTGCTTCGAATTATAGCTCATTTTGGCTTTTCTAGATTCTAGGTGCATAGAGTTAGTGTATATCTAAGCGCATACCAAAAGCTATGGACCTATAGAAAAGCCAAAACGACCAATAATTAGGAACGGAGGGAGTCGATAATAACAGGGAAATAACAAAAATCGCCAACCAGGGTACTGGATAGATACAGTTGTTTGACATTTTACAATAGTAAGTTAGAAAGATAAATCTATTTAAAAAAAAATGATTTTCAAAACACCAAACTAATTCAAATATAAAAAAATAACAGCATAATATTGTGTGAACTAAAAAGCACTTTAATGCCAAAGCACCTATTTATATTAGTGAACATATCAATGTATTATGTGTTCCTATTAATGAAACCACTAAAAACTCAATCAGTCAAATTAACCAAAGCCAACCCAAACAATTTCAACAGCAGAGGCTTAGGAAATAGCTCGATACCTTCACCGCAAGGGGACTTGCGGGTGGTGATGTGGAGAACCTTAGTAGGGATCCTGACGGGTCCCTTAACCCTCAGTTGCTTGTCCTTGGCTCCCTTCACCAAATCCGCACAAACTGAAATGTACCAGAATTCCCACACAATTGTCACTTGTCAGTTCAATAATTGAAAGTAACTCTGCAACAACAGTCCAATATTCAGTGGAGCTTGCATCATAGCAAGTGACTAAATACAGTTTAATCAGCCTAACGATACAAGACAGTAAGAAAGTATATACAAAGGAGACGAGTGCAAACTTCAGTTGCCAAATCCTTCCTTCCATACCATTCAACAGAACAATCAAAGCACTTAGGCGCTGCACTGCTTGTGCATAGGCAAACAGCAAATCGAAACGCGCATAGGAGTTTTGTTCAGATAACCAATACGATAGAAAATGGGTTCACATACCCAGCAATTGTAACCAGCGACTAACTGTCTTAGAGATAGATTTGTACATGTTCTCGAGATTTGCACGGAAAGCAACAAGTTCAACAGGCAGATCTAAAGCATAATCGTAAACAATATACGAATCATCCATCAACGGAAGCTTGTACACGCCATTACGATATACTCCATACGAGCAAGATTAGCTAAGATATTAGATCACATCAGAAAAATAGAGTCTGAATTCATAAGGTTTGGTTATACCTTTCTCCAAGTTCTTGACGTTCTTGGATGAGAGTGTGATGCGGATGCGATTGAGCTGCAGCTCGTGGGCATCCTCGACGCCAAGCTTCCCCTTGAAGCCGCCATAAACTGCCGCCGCCGCCGCCATGGTGCTCTTGCGCTCGGGGGAAGGGGGGTCTTCGCTTACTCGCTCGGCTGCTCGGTCCAGGAGGCGCTGCAAGCTAGGGTTTTCGCCCGAGGATGGGTTAGAGGCTACTTATATGAGAAGTTAACGGGTTGGCCCAACTGTAACCAGGCTTTTAACGGCCCAAATAGAACCAGGTCTTTAACGGCCCATCTAGGGCCTGTTTGTTTCCACCATGCCGTATCGCGCGTTCGAGTTTGAGCGAACGCAGCTCCGACGCCGTGTTTTGGGAATCGCCGAGCCGCGTTCATTTTCTGCTGCGAAACGCGCGAACACCACAGATCGTTTGGCGGGATTATCTCGCGTTTTCCGCGCATCTCGATCGCCAACGCGCTTATGAGCGGAAACAAACAGGCCCCTAGTCTTACCTTTCACATTTGTTCTCCAGCATCCATCCCACTAGAGCCCACAGCACGATTCCACGCGGGGAAGGAGCCCGGCCTCATGACACTGGGCGTCGATCGCGTCTCACATCTCTCGCTCGGGCGCCGCTTCCCCTCGAGGCGAGGCTCGCGAGTGGTGACCAGCACAACCTTGACCTCGACCTGGCATGCGCCGTCGCCACCACCTCGACCTCCGTCGTCGCCTCGGTCGCCTCCTCCGTATTTACTTTTGACCTTTTTTTTTGTTTTTACATTTATCATTTATCAGAGTTGATTGGAGCTTGGAGGAAAGCTTATGTTAGGTTATGAGTAATCAGGAGCAGGCTTGACATAAAACGTGTATTTCTGACCTTCTGCATCGCTTCTCTGTTTTGACCCAAAATTTGCACTCCTTTAGAAAAAAAAACTCCTTCAGTGTCTGTAAGATGCTGAAAAGTAATAGGGGTGGTGATGTTCCCACAAGAAGCTCAAAGAGGAATGAAAGAACTCATCTCACAAGAAGCTCGAAGAAGAATAAACGAACTTACCTCACAAGAAGCTCAACAAAGAACAAAATAATTTGCAATGAAGGAGAGACAACTGAGCTATTGGCCTCAGGTCTGGTGGTCCTTCCTCTTTCGTGCTCATGTTTCTTGCAGCTCTATCTGGGCACTGATAGTTGTGTTGTATCATGTTTCTTTAACTAGGTGACTTGCATCAGGAATCAAATCAAGGTGTTTGGAGTGAGCTGAGTGAAGAAGTTGAGTCAGATTTGTCTAAAAGTGTTGTGTCACTTGCTGTAGCCGATGGTGATTATATGTGTTGTTGTACTCTTCTTTCCCAGACATATTAAACATTGCTAACTATAATTAATATAAATTATGATCTTGTGCAGAGCACAAGGTGCTATTTGCATGCTCAGGCGTAGCTATAGATTGTGATGGAGATGCTACAAGGTTCATGAGTTCAGCAAGCCTGGTTAAAGCTTTAAATGATAAAAGGAAAGACCATGATAACTTGAAGGTTAGTGCTGATAATCATCCTTTACTAATTTTTTATTTTTAGTTGTGATAATTGTGAACTATGTTTACTCTTCTTTTGCTTTATCGCATAGATTGAAGTGCGCAATGAAGACCATGTTGTCGTGGGGTTTTTGGGAGAATATGATTTAGAAGACAACACTGCTACTGTCAATGTCAAGAATTTTTCTGATCTTCGCACCGTAGGATTTAATGATGTGTTCAAATTTCAGCCCCACAGCAAGGTACTAGCTCTAGGCCGTGACGTCTCTGGCAAATTAATTGCCACTGGTGGGATTCTGAATGATAATCTTATATGCGAAGATAAGCCTATGTCTTCCACTTGTAAAATCTCTAAGGTACATCTGCATTTTAAAATGAGTATTTTAATCTGTTTTTGTTATTATATGCAATAAAGTGTATCTGAGATAACAAAGTGAAGTCTGTCCTACTTACCTCTTGTTCACTTTTTTTTTATCAATGTAACAAAGGGTTGCCTGTAATTCTTTTCTTATGTTTGTTGCTAGGTTTGCGAAGGCAGGCCACTTTTTGATTTTGATGGGGATTTTCTTGGCATGAACCTTTCTTTCAGTAGAAAAAAACCTTGTTCTTGCCAAAGTTTGAAGTTTTTAATATATTGGTGGACTACGAATCTCTGGATGAGATGGAATTTCCTACATTAGATTCTTCTAAGGCAGTCAGGTATGTCTTGAATATTTCCAATTGGACACCTACTCTTGCATACGCTATTTATAATGAGATAAGCCATTTTTTATGCCATACAATTGCGGGGTTTTGTTGGTTTCGCAATAATTTGGATTCCGGTGTTGTTCCTTCTGTAGCTTTTGACATTTGTAGTCCTCTAGTTTTCAGAGTGTTACCCTTAATAATAACCTGATTCGTTTTCACCTGTATATATACCGAGATATTTTCTGTCCAATTGGCACATGCCACTATGCCATGTACTCCCTCCGTCCATAAAATAATGCAATTATGGGATGCATGCCAGTCAAGCTAGCTAAAGTTTGATCAAGTTTATAGTAAAAAGTATTAGCATTTATGTCTTTAAATAAATTTATTATGAAAATATATTCTATAACTAATATATGATACTTGTTTTGTACCATGAATGTTAGTAGTTTTTTATATAAATTTAGTCAAAGTTCACACGGTTTGACTTCTCGAAAAGCAAAAATTGCATTCTTTTGTGGACGGAGGTAGTACTAGATTAACATATTCCTTGTGTCAATGTTGAATCCATTTATCTGTCAACTTTAATTAAAGAAAGGAGTTTTCTGTCTAGATATAATGGTCACACGGTCACACTGCATGGGGTGTGGTGCCTCCTGACTTGAGGTTTCCTGTAATGTTTGCTCAATACTAACTTGTTTCCTTCATATATTTATGCATACCAGGCCAGGTCCTCTTTTCTCTATGTTTTCCTGTTCCTACAATTATATTCATGTATATCTTGCATATTATGGTTTGTTCCATGTTTCCTTTTGGTACTCATGTTGATGTTTTTCCGTAGGGTTCGGGAAGGTTCCTTTGCTGAGATGTCTTACTCTTGTAAAGAAGGTGAGCACACAGCATCACTTTAAGCCTCTAACATTTTCGTATTACGTAGTTCATCTTCATCTACAATAATATCTATTTGTAAAGTCGTCATAAATGGTGCAAATTTATAGCACATTTGTACTCTCATAATAGTTATTGACAAGCTTAGCTTTATACAGTTGTATTTTCATAGAGTTAGTGATAATCATTTAATCACTTAATCTGTTCATGGGTGTTTCAAGAACAATCACTTATAGTGTGTTTTGTTACTCAGGTCGTCATAATATATAATTAAGTATACTAATATAATGTTATATTGAGAATTTTGTGTGAATGTTACTTATCATACCCAATATTAGCATGTGTTAGTGCTAATCACATGACCTCTTGCTGTTGTTGCAGTGGTTAACAAGGATCAATCTCAGGATCTAGAATCTTTGGGCTATCCTAAGCCGCCAGAATCAATGTTAAATGGTGAGTCAGTGCCTGCAAATATCTTGACTTTTTATGCATTGTGTTTTTTTACGGATTTACTGCACCACTTATGACTATTGTGCTTTGTATCATCATTAACCAGATGAGATTATTTTGGTTAATACTTTCGAGGAGCCTTTCGGTGACATATATGGTACAGGTGTCTGGAGTGAAATAAGTAAACCAGTTGCCTCTAACATACATGATAATATCGTCGCACTTGCTTCATTCAATGGTAGTTTTACAGTGCTGTGTTGTTTACTGTTTTATGTTTCTATGATCAACAAACTTATGATATAAATTGTGGTCTGCAGGAGAAAAAAGGTTTTTTGCATGCACAGGACTCTATTGAATGGAATGGACATATCACTATCCTGACTTCAGCGAGCTTGATTAGAGATTCTTCTTGTGAATACAAGATCGTCGAAAACTTGAGGATTGATAATTCTAGTTAATCTGATGTCCCTGTTCTTTTAGTGAATCGCCTAAGTCTCAACTGTTTTTCATGGCAGATTCAAGTGTTACTTCCAAACGAACATCATGTAGATGGGGCATTACAACATTATAATTTGCATTACAATATTGCTCTCATCAGTGTCAAGGATTTTTGTCCTACCGAACCGGTAAAGGTTCAATATCGGGGGTCTGGCTCTTTTGAATTATTAGCTGTGGGGTGTATCTTCAAATATGGTAGATTGATGGCTAAAAGAGGGGAACTGTCTCCTATGCCAGTCTCATATGATTGCAAATTTCTTCGATGTTGCACATGTAACATCAGTAAGGTACAGCTGTTATTTTTTCTTATGTGCTATCATACAGTTGAAGTAAATAGTTGCATCTGACTGAGTTGAGTACCATATCTGTTTGACATTACCAATGACAACTTCATCTGGTTAGGCTGGCATTGGAGGGCCCCTTCTTGATTTTGATGGCAAATTTGTTGGCATGAACTTCTATGACAAGTACTCAGTTGGAACTCCATACTTACCATGGGACGAGATTCATGATGTCTTGGAATATCTCAAGGGAAAAAGGTATGTCTAAATTTCCTTTTGGGTATATATTCAATTGCTTGTCATGTAGTGTATTTAGATTCCAAGAACGTGGACATGTAAAACTTCTACGAGAATTTTAAAATGTTTATTGAAGCACATTCAGTATTTATTGAAGGGCGGGCCTGATGCAAGCGGTAGAGTCTTACCGCCTGTGACCGGAAGGTCCCGGGTTCGAGTCGTGGTCTCCTCGCATTGCACAGGCGAGGGTAAGGCTTGCCACTGACACCCTTCCCCAGACTCTCTGCATTGGGTACGCTCTTTTTATTGAAGCACATTCCGTGAGGCATGCATAATTCTTAATTAGGTATTACATTCCTTGGTGTGTTTTTACATTCAGGACTGTTGCTGAAGGTGGCTATGATGTTAATCCGTCTCTTCGCCTAGACTGGACTCTTCCATAATTCTTAATTAGGTATTACATTCCTTGGTGTGTTTTTACATTCAGGACTGTTGCTGAAGGTGGCTATGATGTCAATCCATCTCTTCGCCTAGACTGG